GATGGAAAATTGGCCGGATTTTGCAGGAAAATGTTTTCTGTGGACGGAAGATGATGAACTTGTATTGGGGAAAAGTGATTTCGTAACCCCCAATCACCAAACAAATGAAATCTGATTATTTTCTTTGGAAAAATGATTTCTATTCGAAATCATGATGTTTTTGGACTGTGTTTGTCTGAATGAAATTTTTTCCACGAATTTGTTTTCTAGACTTTCACGTGTTTTGTTTGCTGAAAATAATTAGTTAGTGGAAAACAATTTGCGGTCAAAGAAAATGTGCATTCTTAAAGTTAGAAAAAATGAATTTCCTCATCTAAAAAGAGGAAAACATTTTCCTGAAAAATGATTTACCCGAAAAATATTTTCTTTTATCGTGAATTTTTTTTCGAAATAAATGCACCTTAAGTGAATTTTGCTTTATCATAGAGCATCTCCATCTCATTCGAGAATCAAGTACGTTAAGAAAATAAAATTGGCTAAGGCTTCATTTGTTTCGCGAAAATATTTTTTGAAAAAATATTTTCCGGTGTTCCGATGACTTTGAAAAATGAGCCAACAGAAAATTTATGTTTAAATTTAGGAAAACAATTTATTCTTAACAAATTGCAAATCATTTTCCAAAATATGACTAGAAATCAGTGCTTTGACCAAAAACTCTACACTTGGCATAGAAACCCCAACGCTGGTTCCCTAGTCCCCGATGCCCAGGGCCGGGTCTCCCGTGCCCGAGCCCTAGTTCAGTGAGGCCAGGCAAACTTGCTTGGTTCCCCCATGCCCATACCCAAATCCATCCAGATCTAGCGTGGGACCCCGATATTTTGTGCCCGATTCTCCGGCGCTCCATCGAGTATGAGCCCAAGACCCTAGTGACCATGCCCAAATTCCCAGCACTCGCGAATGGGTTCATCAAGGCCCCAATGCCCTTGCCCGATGCCCTAACACTTCGTCCGAGTCCACAAAGGCCAAGCATTGGATCTTGGTACCCTAGCTCAGATCCCCAACACCCTACCTAGCCTAGGTTCACAAAGGTCATGCCCGAGTTCTCGATGCTCGGGCTTAGGTCTCCGGTGCCTAAGCTAGGGTCTATCGAGGCCGAGGCTCGGGACCCGAGTGCCCATGCCTAAAGACCCTAGTGCCCGAGCCCAAGTCCATCAAGGCTGAGCCCAGGACCTTGATCCAGTGCCCAGGTCCTTAGCACCCAAGCATGTGTCTATCGAGGATGGACCCCTTGGACCTCGTGCTCGGCACCTACAACCGGTTCCATCAAGGCTGGGCCCTAGACTCCGATGCTTGCAGCTAAGTCCATTGAGGCTGGGCCTAGGTCTATTTAGGTTAGGCTAAGACCTCGTTGTCAGGCTTGAGCCTAGCCTCCATGGACCAGGGGTTGAGTGTCAGGGACTTGAGCTCGAGCGACGGGGACCCGAGCATGGGCACCGGGGTCCCGCACTCACCCTTTGTGGATCTAAACCTAGCCTTGATGAACTCAGGCTTGGGTTTTGAGGATTCAGGCATGGACATCGGATCCTCAAGCTTGGCCTTTGTAGACCCGAGCCGGGGTGCCAAGGAGGCAGGCATAGGCATCGAACTCTGAAGCTCGGCTTTGTGGACACGAGATCGGTGCCCATGCTCGTGCTCTAGACCTAGGTGCTTGTGCCTTGACCCCACTGCTCATATCAAGGTCCAATGAGGCTAAGCCTAGGATCTTGGTACCTGTATCCAATTCCCTACCTGCCCATGTGCAAGTCATTAGCACTTGAGTAGCGTATGTTTATTTAGGAAAATCAAATCAGATTTCTATGCCAAAATGATGGAAAAGTGTTTTCAAGTTTACTTTTAAGTTTTAACTAAACACCAAAAAATATTATCATTTTCCTGAAAAATGATTTTCTATAAAATATTTTTCAGAAATGATATATTTTCCTTGAAAGAAACGAAGCCTTAATCTTAATTTGCCTTTGTGGGTTCCTCTAAGATATGTTGTTTTCGTTTCCTATCCACTCTTCCGTTATTTTATGTAAAACAGAGCACAACAATGTCTTGCATGTTATGCTTGGAACTGATTTTGAATAATATAGTTAATCGAATTTCAACTGTCGTACTCCAATACACTAAACTTTGAAATCGCTTAACCGACGTGTCATTAGTGGTCCAATAAATTCAGTTTTCTCCCGTTTTCTTCAGTTTTTTGTGGCGATTAAGGGTAAAAAAAAATGAGATTTCCTTCGAAACATGATATGAAAATTCACTTTTACTCCCCAAGACTCTTTGTTATTGGAACAAAAGTTTGCAAGGTTAGTATATAATTCAAGAATAAATATATATCGCCCCTAAAGTTCAGGGTGATTTTATGTAATTTCGCTCTCGTTTAATTTCCTCACCTGCTTCGGTTACGAAATTACAGGAAAAGCCACACCAACTGACAGATTGGACGCTACCAAGCGATTGGACGTCTGTAATCTGTCCGACAAAGTTGTAGGTCCATGTTAATTTCCAAGCTTATCTTCACTTTTTTGACTTTGCTATTGCCCGAAAAATAGACAGAAAATAATATATATTTGTGATCCTTTTTCTTCCTTTTTTTTTCCCGACAAACATGCTCATTTGGACAGACGGCTCAAAACATCGCATTCGCATTATTGGCATTTAATGGCGTTGAAAATCGAACGTATTCCGTGCGTAAAATTTAATATAAAAACATATATTCACAAGCTAGGCTTTATGCTATTGTCGAGTCAATTTATCCTTACGAATTCACGATGCATTTATTTAAAAGCTAGCTAGATCACTTGCATGCTATTAAGACATCGCAAAGATTGTTTGGTTCGAACACATCATATATGATAATTATGAATAAAGGAATGAATGTTATTACAAATCGATCATGACTTCTATAGCATTGAAACTAACACTTGGCTACTCAGCTAGTCTCTAAAATTACTAATGATAAGTGCAGTGTAACTTTAAATTTGTATATTTATATACACAAAAACTTGCACCGATAATTAAAGCAAGTCATAGTAAATAAGGTTTCATTTGTTTTGCGGAAAATTTGTGCCGAAAAATACTTTCCTAATTTTTTGGCATTTATATTGCTTAGGGGAATGAGTCAATGGAAATATTTGCATAGTCGACGGAAAGCCCCATGTTTAATTATGGTAAATGATTTCCTTTTTTAAAAATTAGAAATCATTATCCAAAATATGATTAAATATTGACACTTGAACCAAAGACCTTATGTCCAAAAAAAAAAAAATCAAAGACCTTGGCTTTAACGCACAGGAATCACAACACTCATGCCCGGGTCATTGGCAGACAAACTAGGGTCCCAAAGGTCGGGCCCTAGTCCACAAAAGCCTGGGCTGAATCTTTCAAGTATGGGGTTGGACACCAGTGCCGATGCTAGGTTATCTTGCTCCCCGCACCCATATCGCAAAAGCCCGGGCCTAGGTCCACAAAAACTAGGCCTAGATCCTTGGAGGTTGGGGCCAAAACCTTGACATCGCACCTCGGTGCCCGACTCTTACACCCATGTCACCGATGCTTGGACGTGGATCCATCGAGGCCAAGCCTGGGTCCACAAAGGTAGGGCTCGAGCTCGAGTCTCTCCAGGTCAAGCCCAAACCTCGTGCTTGTGCTCGAGTTCCCGACGGCCATGTAGAGTTACTTGGCTCGTGCGCCGAGGTCACTAGTGCCTAGGCCGAGTCCATTGAGGTCTAGCCCGATTCCTTAGCAAGGCCAAGTCCAAGACCTTGGTGCTCGTGCTGGGGTTCCTATTGGCTGTTCTCAAATACCCGCCTCTTGTACCCAAGTCACTAATACTCTGGCCCTGGCCCATTGAAGTCGAGCTTGAGTCCACAAAGGTCGGGCACGGGTCTTCCATGGCCATGCCCAAATACCCGACTCCCGCATCCAAGTTAACGGCACCTAGGCTCAGGTTCATTGAGGTCAAGCTTGTGTTCCTCATATGCTAACCTAGGTAGGTCCACAAAAAGGTTGGGTTGAGATCCATCAAGGTCGAGCCTAGGACCCTTGGTGCCCGTGCATGGGTCCCCAGCAGCTATGCCCGAGTACTCGGTTCCATGCCCAAGTTACTAGAGCGTGGGAATGGGTATCCTAGCGCTCGTGCTCGGGTTCTCAATAGTTGGGTCCAAGAAACCCCGAATTTTGTGACATTGACCTTGGCGACCGAGCTCGGGTGCCCTGTGACTAGGTTTAGGCCCCAACACCCAGGCTCAGGTACCCCAAGGCTGCACTTGGGACCTAAGCATCGAGCCCTGGTTTCATAAGATAAAAATAAACAAACTGTCTACGATCCGCAAATGTATTTATGTTATGAAAATTTAATCCGATACAATCTTATTTGAAATTTGACGACACAACACGTATAGCCTTTATATCACACGAGCAATGCCCGTCTCTTTCGAAAAATAAAAGGAAGCTTCCATTTTCAGTTCATTTGATCATTTCTAGAGAAATTCAGAAATATCAATGATTTTACGAAACAAACGAAGCCCAAAAGTATAATAATTTGTCCCGTTAACACACAAGTACACATATCTGAACATTCTTAAACTGGATTAAGAATGTCCATTGTCCATCTCCTCGGTTACATTTATTACCATTTCTCTGCCTCTTTTATCAGCAAGAGCAAGGGTACAAGCGACAGACAGATAAAAAAAAAGAGCTCCAGCGAAAAGGAATACGCGCTCGACAAGGGCAGTTGCGTCATTCCCCGATCCCCCGCAGACACCAGTCAACCAGTCAACCCTCCCACACCTCCACCGTCTCTTACCCAAAACCGCTAGCGGTAATCGTGCAATGCCGCGACAGCAGTTGTTTGTTGAGGTGGGTTGCATTATTGGACGACAACCTCCGCTCCGACGTGGCATCCTTCCATTCGTCCGTTTCTGGTCTTCGGGATTGACAGCAACACCACTCTCTCTCTCTCCTCTCTCTCTCTCCTCTCTCTCCGTGCTTTTCTCTCGAAAAAGAAACACACTCTTTCCCACTGAATTCCTCTCTCTCTCTCTCTCTCTCCTCGCATTCCGAGTTCGAGCTCAGCAATGCTCGATCTCAGTGGCTGACGCTTCTCCTTTCCGCGTTTCGATTTTTTTCCTTCCTCTGGTTCGGCGTTTGCTCGGAGGATCGCCGCGAGGGGGAGCGCGCTCTTGCGGCGGCAGCGGCGGCGGCGAAAGATGATGGAGGCAATGGAGAGCTCGATCAATGGCGGGTTCTCGCACCTGCAGCAGAGCTACGGCGACAGCAGCGAGGAGGAGCTCTCCGTGCTGCCGCGCCACACCAAGGTCGTCGTCACCGGGAACAACCGCACCAAGTCCGTCCTCGTCGGCCTCCAGGGCGTGGTCAAGAAGGCCGTCGGCCTCGGGGGCTGGCATTGGCTGGTGAATTCTCCCTCTGCTTTTTGCCCTGGGTTTTTTTTTATTTCCTGGGGAAATGCGGATTGATCCGGGATCGAGGTTGATTGGGTACAATGTGGCGCGCGGGTCTCGCGTTTGAACGGTTCTTGAATTTAGGTTTCGCTTTATACTGGGTCGGCGAATTTTAGTTGATTAGTAGCGTATCGCATTGGTGTGTCGGGGTTCGAGAATGTGCGTTGACTTGATTTGAAGTTGGAGCAGATTTGGGGGGGCGTGATCATGAATGGCACACGCCGGTCTGCGTCAATGCCTGCGCATTGGTGATTGATGAACTTCCGGATTGCTTTTCAGTGTCCGATTTCAGATGGAAGTTCTCGACATTGAGTGTTCATTGCTACTCTGGCCAAAAAGAAAAAGAAAAAAAAGGAGTGTTCATCACTATCGTGAGCGAGAATTTCGCATGTGAATATCTGGGTATAATCTTATTTGGAATTATTATTTACTTCGGATCGTGAATGGGGCCTTTTTCGATTCATTTACTTAGGGGGAATTCTAGAATGTATTGATCTAAACGTTGAATCTTCTCCTTCTTTTTCATGTGGGTATTGGTATGGATTGCTTAATGCTAAGTTTCTTTTGGTTTAGTTCGCGTAGCGTCGGCAATGGAGTAAGATATTTGTGCTTTCTAATTGTACACTCAGAAATCGCTCCGGAGGAAATGATCAAAGCCTCTTGTCTTGATCTTCCTTTGTTTTTTGTTTTCTTAAGGGAGAAGATCTGCAGGATCTTCGCTTTTTAATTCTGGTGGCAGAAGGAAAAAGTGTGGGCCTTCGTCGAATTTCAAATAACTAAATTAATGCTTCCGAGAGATAATGGAGCTTCCTCTAGTGTTGTTCTACAGCTTGTCTTCTGACGTTTTTCGGTTTATCAGCCAATAGTGCAGCTTAGAGTTCCTCTTACGCTCTCTCGATAAATTCCAGGTTCTAACGAATGGCATAGAAGTCAAGCTACAGAGGAATGCCCTCAGCGTGATTGAAGCTCCTACTGGTAATGAGGAAGATGATGACCTGGACTATGAGAATGGGCATTGGAATGCATCGGATATGAGTGAGTTCCTAAAGTAGTCTATTTCATGACCTGTGCTTCCTTTTCCACTTGTGCACTTTTTTGTTGTGCCGCTGGAGATTCCTAAAATGAACTAGTGAGTTACAGGAGTTTCTCGAGCTTTCCTTGTAGCTGGAACTTGTCAAATCCAAGAAAAGAATCAGGGATTAGCTTTTCTTGGTGCTATTGGAGTCTGCTTCCTTCCATGAAAATAAAATGCGTAATCTGCTGCTTCAAGGAAGATCCCTCTTAAGCAGTTTGAATTAGAACCGAACATGTCTGATACTCCAATTTGCTGCGACATTAGCTGTTTAGCTAAGAAATTGTTTAATTAGCAGCACCAGATGTCGATTCTATCACTCTTGGTTATCTCAATTTGGTCCTGTTCAATTAGACCCATGATGAAATATTCTTTGGTTTGGGGTTTGAAAGATCGGTTTTTCATATGGAAAGTAGCAGAGAACATAGGATCCATTTTGCCTTTCACCTTTCGTCTTTTGCTTTTACTATTGCTGAAAACTCGCTCATTTCGCTTTATTTTTTTGATATGCCCCACAACCCTTTATGATTGTGCTTGCGCTGCTCCTTGTTCCAGCATCCGATGACACTCAAAAGTCCCATAGATCCAGGCACCGAGTGCACAGATCATCTGGATCATACCACAAGACCATGAGCAGGACTCATTCTTGTGACTCACAGTCTAAGGGATCAATTTCTACCCGTGGGTCCACGGTACAATCTCCAATGCTCTCATCTACATCGTCTCTTGTTTGTATCCTCCGGCCTTCGAAAGCAAACTACTTTATATTGCATTTGGTGTTCTCCACTAGTCGTTGTTTAATGATTGTTTCTTTTTCCTGTTCCTCTCACCCACTGTCCAGAAAGTTGACCTCAGCAAATTGGAGATGGCTGCTTTATGGAGATATTGGCGCCACTTCAATCTCGTGAGACTTTTCTATTCTTTCCTTTTTGCCTTTGTTTATTGGATGTTTTTTCTTTTTATTGTGGAAAAATGTGTAATTGTTTGACTTTCACTGTCTCCCTAACTAACATATGCCGTCCTCCTTTTCCAGGTGGATGCTGTACCCAACCCATCAAAAGAGCAACTCATTGATGTTGTTCAAAGACATTTCATGTCTCAGGTATACTTACTCATTCACGCATCGGACTGTATATGTAATCGCAGCGTGACCCTAAGCTCTATTATGTGTGCCGTCGCGAAAGGACTAAATAAATGAATTAAATAGATCACCAAAAATCTCCGGAGCCTTCAGTGGCTAGTTCCCTGGTCTCGGAAAAGACTCCGATTGCTGATCCATTTTCCTTTCTCCAAATTAACGATTCTTTCTTGTGTCTCTTCCATGGTGTGCAGGAAATGGACGAGTTGCAGGTTATTGTGGGGTTCGTTCAGGCCGCGAAGAAACTGAAGACTGTCTGCAAGTGACTGGGAGAGGATTTTGCAAGATCCTAGTCTAACGTATTCACGCTAACCGAGAGCTATTTACAGGACTCCTCTTCCCTTTGTGTAGCGAATTCTGTAATATATATATGGTATCAGTCCGTGGACCGTCTTTCCCTGCCTTGCTTAGTTATGGACTATATCTAAGTTATAGAGGGTACTTTTTGGTAGTATAGAGACCGCGATGTAGATATATGGTGAACAATAACTAGACAACTTAGATTTTTTACTGTCTATGTGTCCGACTAGAACTATTGCTGGCAAGGGAAGTGGTGGTATCTTTGGCAATGTATATATGCGACCTGTATTATGTCTTAATTCTCTTGATTTCTACTGGCTAACCAGGCGTCTGCTAAATTACTTATTTCGAATTCCAAATCTCTTCAAATGCCACTGCGGTGATTACATCGATCGGCCTTCCCTGGTTGTCGAATTCGTCGATTCATTGCAGGTCGCATGATTTTCATGTGACGATGGTTGATGCCTCCAACGTCACTCGTTTGATTTCTGAGGGAGGAAGAACAGCTTTGACGGTGGCAGCAGTAATAGGGAATTGAGGAAACGTCGAGAAGCATTTCCTTTCTAGATGCAAGACGGGTCGTATATGTCTCATGTTAGGACAAACGGGATAATTTGTATTGGAAAGCGATGATCGGCATGATGTCCGGGTTCTTAACGGGCCTGTCTTGTCTTGTCCGTCAACTCCGTCGACAATCTAAGGGAGCAGAGACTTTTTTCTTTATTTTTTTGTTGACCCAAGAAGAGATTAGTGGAGTATAATTTGGCGACCTAACGCGTGTGTTGGTCCTTATAAAATTTCAATTTTTTAGAGGTTGCAATCCAAATTGCTAGACGAAAAACCACGTCAAATTGGATAAAGCATTACCCCAGGTGATTTGGACCCCGTTAAGTCACGAGTTCCAATCCCCCAAGTCACTCCTCGATCTCGGGAAATCCCGATTCGTCTGTGGTATAGGTTTTGCTTGTGCACTAAACTTCGAATAACTCTGCCTCCATCTCAACTTACATTCGGTAGTGTGGCGGCGATGGACTCGCTTAAGACGAGCAGCAATTACGGCTCAAATCCAAAATTTCAATTGCGGCTATAGAACATTTATGATAACATTCAAGGGATCAAGCGCTTTGATCCTTCCTCCTCACCCCTTTTATTAAAAAAAAAGAAAAAAGAAAAAAGAAAAAAGAGGGTAGACCAAAATGTACAAGATAAGGATACCTACTCAACTGAAAGTCAAAAGTACTATTCACATAATAATAGCAAAATGGAGTTGCTAGTCAAAGCTCAGGGAAAAAAGGGGCAGCCGATTAGGTGGACTGTGCATTAATGCATGTGCTGTGCACCTATAACCTTCATATGAGCTCTAAAATAAGAAATCACACAATTGAATTCATTAAATTATAGGTTATATTCTTATTAGTCGTTCGATGCGATCTACTTATTTAAATTCTAATATTTATAATTTTACCACATCACTTGCTTTCTTCATAATTTAATATACCGATTTAATTTTACCTAGCATTACTCGAGACAACCACCTAATCTCCAATATCCTATATAAATGGGTCATTTATTGCCAATGCTCCAATGGCAAATGTGTGAGCCAAAATAGCTGAAAAGAGTCTGCCTAACCACTGGGTTGGTTACCCATATCTCATGAGGACCCCTTTAGCCTCAATTTATCTCCTCCTCTTCCTTAGTTTTTTCATGCTCCTCAACTCACAACCCCTTTGCCTGGCCGGATCTCCGTGCCGTCCCCTCCGCCACCAGCATCGTCACCGCCGTATTCCCTCGACCCCTTCATCTCCGTCGAAGTCAAAGCCGCCTCCACCTTCTCATGCACGAGTAATGCCGCCTCCCCCGGCGGGGTTCTACTTCTACTCCCCGCCGCCTCCTCCGGTAGGGTTCTACTTCTACTCCCCGCCGCCTCCTAGCCCACCTCTCTCGTAGCTCACAACACTCAGCCATCTGCAGCGCAAGCATCCGACTCCGGTAATATGTTTCGAGTGTAAAGTGTTTTTTTTTCTTGACGCGTGTAATAGCGAAACGAAACACAGAGGCTTGGCTTGTGATGCATAAGGCAAAGAAGTTGAATTTGCTCTAGTCTCTATGACCAGGATCGTTTTGATGGTGCTCTCAGCCAATGTAAAATGGCAATGCTTCTATAGTATGGACGGCAATCTCTCTCTCTCTCTCTCTAGATTCAAGCCGAAAATTTCAACAAAGATTGGCTACTAGTTCGGTTGTTGGGCTTTCTAAGGATAAAAGGCCAGAATCTGGGCCTCCATTGAGTTTATAGCATAGTCGGGCCCAAGCTTATGTAAAGGGTAGGGTTCTAGTGAAGGGAAGCTTGAGATGTTACTACAATTTCACCTATGTCTTCGGAGAAATTTGTATTTTATGTGTTGGTCTTTTACTTTCACGGTTGGATTCAATTCAAGCGAAGTTTTCCACTATTCCTTCAAATCCAAAGCTTTTTTTTTTCCTTTTTCCCCCTTTCATCGACTCATAAGGTTTGAACCCCGACCTCCTAATTTATAGCCCTAACCTAGCCACGGCTAGGGGTGTCAACGGTTCGGTTCGGTTCGGGTTTCCTGAAAACCCGAACCGAACCGAACCGAACCGTTAAAGATAGTGGCTGAACCGAACAGAATCGCATCCGAACTGAACACGAACCAAACCGAAAACTCAAATTCGGTTCAGTTTGATTCGGTTTGGTTCGGTTCGGATTTTCGATTTTCCCCTTTTTTTGGCCTGCTTCGATTTTCCTATTTTGTCTTCACAATTGTGTGACACACACTCTCCTCCCCTCGCTCTCCTTTGCCTTGCCTCCACCACACCGCCGCTCGACCCCACCATCTCCGGCGACTCCAAAGCGGAACTCCATGAGCGACCACCACCATACCTTCCACTTCAGAGTCTTAACCAACAAAACCTCCAATCTCAGGCTATATGACAATGAACTCCCACCTCCCCCATCGTCCACAGCTCAGGTCCATGAGCCCGCCTCCGCTCTTCGGTCATTGCCAACCCAATCAACCTCGATTCGGTGTCGAGCGGGCCCAAAATCCCGAGATCTAGGACTTGGGCGACCCTAGATCCGAGATTAGGGCTCTGGTCAAGCGCGGCCGAGTACGAGAGTCAAAGCTCATGCAAAATTTCGAGACTCGATGTTGGCGGCAACCAAAGCAGAGGGTGAGTAGAGAAGGGAAGAAAGAGAAGACTGAGTGTCGCGACCCAGCTTCGGATGACGCCATATGGGGCCTCGCTAGAGGAGGCGGAGGCTTTGCTGGCGATGCTTGTGTCCGGTGGTCGGGTTTGGTGGTTGACTGGCGATCGTGCACAATGTGGCTGCTGGTGGGAGGTGGTGGTGGTGGTGGAGAATCTGGAGATGAAGTTGCAAGGGAAGCAGAGAGGCGAGTACAGAGACAAAATTTATATTAGGGTTTGAGACAGTAAGCGTGTAAGAGTGAAGGGCTTCTCAATATTGGTTCAGTTCGGTTTATGGGCCGAACTGAGCCGAACTGAACCGATACAACCCGAACTGGTATAAAAATATTGATTATTTTCATTAACCGAACCGAAACCCGAACTGAACCGAAAATTCATGAATTTTTGGTTCGGTTCGGTTCGTATTTCGGTTCGATTTTTCAGTTCGGTTCTGACACCCCTAGCCACGGCCACGCTAGGCCGTTTGCCTAAGGGAAAGCCTTTCCATAAAAAAAATATTAGAGTCTCCAAAATATTGATCTTGCGTCTATTCCTCCACGCCGCTCTCAAAATGCACGACCATTTCCACCTTTTGCCACTACTACCACCACATTCCACCACCATTCTGGTCAATGTGCATCTGAGTATGCAAAATTTTATTTTCCCTTTCCCATTAGTTTTTTTTTTGGCGACCCTTGTGCAACGTCAAGATGAATCGATTACTATGATGAGTAACTTTAATTAGATGGAAAAATCGAACATTTAATATCGTCTTCTTTTGTTACGAATATACGGATTCTTTTCAAGAAGGCAAACATTAAATGACCACTTCACTGTTATTTCAATAATCAAAGAAATGGAGTTGAAATATTGCCCCCTCGGAGTTTATAGTTAACTTTTTTTCCTTTACCTTTATATCTTTTTTCTTTGGCCAATTTTACATTTTCTCTTTGAAGTTAAATTGCATTACAATACTACAATAATATGTTGACAAGGGATAAATGGAGAAACAAAAAGTGAGCTGGGAGATAAGACTCACTTTCGACTTAAATATATAGATAGATCGCCACATTCGTTTCGTCGAATCAAACGAGGTAACCCCAATTTATGGTCAGACCAACTGAATGAGATTATGATAACAAAATCACTATCTCTTTCGAATGGAACTACTTAAAGCAATTCATAAAAGCCTAAATAAAGTTCCCAGCAATCTCAATGACCAAAAAATCGGCAAAAGGACACCAGAAGTGCCATAACTTGTGTACGGAGATCACTTTGGTGCCATAACTTTTTTTCGGATCACTTTGGTGTCAAGTCGGAGGAAAATAGATCACTTTAGTGACTCCGGCCAAAAAACTGACCTGGCATTTATATTAAAAAAAATGGTCTGACTTGTACACGTGGAAATTAGGTGGCTTTTTTCGAATTTTTTAATTTTTTGATTAAAAAAAAAAAACGTTGCAGCAGCGGTAAAGGAGCCCTCGTCGTTGCTACTGCCAACCCACCACCGCCGGGAAGGGCCGGCGGTGGTGGGCGGAGTGGTCGACGAGGGCCGGATCTGGCGAGGCGAGACCTCGCCGTCGCCTGGGTCGCGACGGCAAGGTCGGCCTCGCCTTTTGCCGAGCGAGGCGAGACCTCGCCGTCGCGACCCGAGCGACGGCGAGGTCTCGCCTCGCCCACACCTCGCCCGAAAAGGAGAGGTCGGACCTCGCCGTCGCCTAGGTCGCGACGGCGAGGTCTCGCCTTGCCGGATCCAGCCCTCGCTGGGTCTTGGTGAGGGTCGCTGGGCCCCGGCCAGGGGCCGGCCACCCTCGCTGACCACTCCGCCCACCACCACCGGCCTTTCCCGGCGATGGTGGGTCGGCGGTAGCAGCGGCGAGGGCTCCCTTGCCGCTGCTGCAACGTTTTTTTTTTTTTTTTTCTATATAATTTTTAAATTTTTTTCTAAAAAAGTACACGCCAGCGGGCTAAACAACGTCGTTTTTGATTTTTAATGCTGACTGGACCTCTCCGGCGAGCCATGTCAGCGCCACATCGGATTTCCGGCGAGCCACGTCAGCATTGACACTAAAATGATCGTTTTTCAAAAAAA